GCGTTCTTTGATGTAACCGTGGTTCATCAACTTTCTGCTCAGATATTGGTGATGTTTTATAAAGTCTGAGTAGCAGCTGCAAGCTCTTGAATACCGAATAAGTTAGGAAATGTTTATCCCATATGCAGGTGAAATTGGAATATTGCTGCAAAGGTGGGGGAAATTTATAATGTCAAAATTAAAATCGTCTCGTTTGTCATAGATTCTGGTACTGAGATGACCACTTTTGTCAAATTCGAGGTATACATAAGTCTAAAAATGAAGAGGAGGAGGCCGTGTTTGTTGTTTCTTTAATTTCTAGTTATGGATGATATATTAATGGAACCCAATCAGAAAAGTTTGGATTGTTAATGGAAAGAGCAATATCAATATATCTGAATGTAAATTAAAAGACCTGGCTTCTTTGGTCTTCTTGCTTTTGACAAATGTCTGAAGAAACTCCGACTCATATGAAAATAAGAACAGGTCGGCAAGGAGAGGCGCACAGTTCGTTCCAAAAGAAATGCCGACAATTTGTTGGAAAGGTCTACCTCCAAATTCAACAAATATGTTGTCAATAAGAAGCTCCAGCGTACTGATCACTTGTTCCTCGGTGTAGCATGCAGAATCTCAATATTTACGACTTCAAGTCTAAACTTCCTGATTGCACCTGTGCTAGTTCCCCATTCATATATAATCCGGCTGGCCACGTTATTACCGATGACCTAAACATTGTCAATAACACTTCTCTGCGAATGTGTTATCCATAGGCCCGAAATACCGTGTGCCTAAATCCATCAATTGGAAACACAACTTCAAAATACTGATGGATTCAGTCGAGGATTATGCCAGGCAATGCGTTAAACGCGAGAAAGAAGACGTAGATACTGTTTCCGAATGGATTAAGGCTGTGAGGTCGTTGATACAAATCAGAATTAAGAAACTGAATGGGTCTATTAATACCCATGCATTGCTACATCAATCTTTAAAGACCCAAATGTTGCAAAACACTTGTCCTACCTCCATGACAAATATGTTGTTGTCCCCGCAGATAAAGCCACAAATAACATAGTTGTTGTGTGTAAATCACATTACATAAACTGCTTGATAAATGAATTAGGTATTGACAATTCACTCGGAAACTCAACATATACCCCCACGACACTTACTAAAGAGGAAATCCTGGATAATCATAGGTCTGTTCTATGTTCCTTTGGAATTTCAACCAAAGATGAAGAACTGGATCTTCCATCACTGTACTGTATACCTAAACTACATTAGTGTCCTTACAAAAAACGGTATATTGCTGGGTCTTCCAAGTGCTCCACAAACCCTCTTTCTAAATTATTAACATCAATTTTATCAGCAATCAAAGCCGGGCTTCAAAGTTATTATGAAACTACCTATTCTAGAGGTTGCGTGAATCAGATGTGGATACTAAAAAAATCCAAAGATCTTTTGGAGTACATACAATCGAAGACTCTTTCATCTTACAATAGTATTTAAACTTTCGACATCTCTACACTTTACACAAGTATTCCCCATTCCAAACTAAAAGACAAATTGAAAGAGTTGGTCCTGCTTTGTTTCATAAAAAAGAATGACATCGTAGATACAAGTATCTTGTCTTAGGGAGGGACAAATCCTACTTTGTAAAAAATCACTCTGATTCAAACAAAAAATTCTCTGAAACTGACATTATCAAGATGCTTGATTTCTTGATTGATAACATATTTGTCAAGTTTGGAGGACGTGTTTTTCAACAAACAATTCCTCATGGGAACCAACTGTGCCCCTCTTCTTGCTGACTTGTTCCATTATTCATATGAGGCTGACTTCATACATAGACTACTTAGGAAGAAAGAAAAAAAAGTTAGCAGTATCCTTTAACTTTACTTTCCGCTATATAGATGATGTTCTCTCACTAAATGATTAAAAATTTGGTGACTATGTTGAATGCATCTTTCCCATCGAACTTTAGATAAAGGATACAACAGATACAGTTAAGTCTCATATCTTGACTTTCATCTAGAAATTGACAATTAGGGTCGGTTAAAAACAAAACCTTACGACAAAAGAGATGATTTCAGCTTCCCAATTGTGAACTTTCCATTTCTATGTAGCAACATTCCAGCAGCACCTGCATACGGAGTATATATCTCCCAGTTGATACGATATTCCAGGGCTTGTATTTCCTTGATAGAGGGTTGCTGCTCACAAGAAAGCTATTAAACCAAGAGTTCAAAGCGGTGAAGTTGAAATCATCCCTTCGTAAATTTTACGGACGCCATCACGAGTTGTTTGACTGTTATGGAATATCCGTTTCACAGATGATAGCGGATATGTTCCTAATGTCGTCACTACAATCCCGTCCCCTTTTCCCGAATTTGACCTACCGAATTAGACGTATTACCGGGTTTGTACTAAGGTAGCAATATACAGTTCGGGAAAAAAATCAAAATTAACCCTTATAATTTTGCCATCCCCTTTTCCTTGCTATCTTAAAAATTCATCTTACTGTTTGTGTCATATTTGAGCATATGTATGTAATCGGTATCTTCTATAGAGTTGATATCTAGTAGTTGAAATGGTAAAAGTTAATTTCTTTTTGGTGTATCCATGGCAACAACTTGCATGTACTTGCTATAAAATATTCCAAAAAGGGGGATAAAGATGTCACATATTTCCCCAAAATTTGACCAAAAGTAGAATTTCAATCCCTTGGAGTGATAGCTTTTCTGAAACTGTTTTCATATATCTATCAAGAGATCACATAAAATTCATATGTCTTTCTTCTCATTTTTTTTTCGTATATCACTAGCCAGTCAACACTGAGGTTGTGAGTTCGAATCCCGCACGTGCCAGGTGTGCCCGAGTCCAATCTTAATTTACTAGGATTGTCAGTTTTCCTACCGTAGGTCGGTGGTTCTCTCCACCAATAAAAACTGACCGCCACGAAATAGCACAATAGTGTTGAAAGTGGCGTTAAACACCAATCAATCAATCAATCAATCATTTTTTGTTAAATTGCGTCAAAAAGTTCGTGTGAAAAAAAAGTGTTTGTAAACATTACAAAAATTTCTGGACCTATGGCCGGTCTGGCTATGAAAATACGGACAGTCAAACATAAAATAGCCCATAAATCATCTAAAAAATAATCTTGATGTTCCTGTAAACCCACTATGAAGGCCGAATTAGTCATCAGCTGTCTAAAAATGAATATTATTGCACAATAACTTTCATATTCGAAAAATCCACCGGGGCCAAATGCGAAACTACATTCCTAACTGTGTATTGCTACCTAACCTGAGCAACACGACGGGTGCCACAGGTGGAGCAGGATCTGCTTACCCTTCCGGAGCACCTGAGACCCCCCCCCCCCCCCCGTTTTTGGTGGGGTTCGTGTTGCTCAGTCTTTAGTTTTCTATGTTGTGTTTTGTGTACTATTGTTTGTCTGTTGGTCTTTTTCTTTCTTAGCCATGGCGTTGTCAGTTTATTTTCGACTTATGAGTTTGAATGTCTCTCTGGTATCTTTCGCCTCTCTTTTACCTTTTTGTTCACTTTTAACAAAATATGACGTACGGTATCCCAAAGCAACAAATTTATAGCGTATGCATGCTACCGTTCAAAAGCATTGTGCCTGTGGATTATTTCTTTTAGACGATTTTTCAATTTCACATGGGAAATGTAGTATAAAGGGTTTAAAAATCAAAGGTTTTGATAGAATCAATGTTAGGGAAAGATCGTGATTCGAGATTTAAAAATATTAGTTCTTTAGAGGTTTTTAGAATCCTCATATGGTTAATACCACTACGCGAGTAAATAGTTTCACAGTATTTCTGAAGACCATGCACCTTTCACTGCGGACAGAATTTTTGTCGATCAGGACCAGAGGAGTATACTATCAAAGTTGAGGTTATCTCCCATGACCTCAACATTGAAAAAGGTAGATACATTTATCTAAATGTCAGTTGAAGATCGATTATGCTATCTTTGTGATCAGGCTGTTGAAGACGAGGTAAATTTCCTTATGGACTGCACCTGTCTTCAACAGTAGAGAACCATATATAAAATCCATTAGTAAGAGCTGTGATAATTTTAAAACACTCAGTTCAGAAAATAAATTTATATGGATCATGAGTAATGAGGATAACAATATTACCTTTATCTTATTTAAAATGATAGTTTCATTGTTTGAGAACCGTTCTCACTTAAGCAAGCTAAGTTAAAAACCAACAATACTTGAACATTTTTTTTATATACCTATATGTAAATGTACAGCTGGAGATCCTCAGATCAATAAAATGTTATCTAAGTATTATATATTAGTGGGGGGGGGGGGGGGTAGGACCTTTATCGGGACTCCGGGATCGGGTGTTTTTAAGCTCGGGATTTCGGGATTGATCCTTTCGGGATCCGGGAATTCTTTTTTCGAATTTCGGGATGTCGGGATTTAATTTTTTTTTAAATTCGGGACCTCGGGATTCCATGTTTTTAAGCCCGGGATTTCGGGATTAGGATCCCTCCTAACCCCCCTCATTAGTACTATGTATTTTCAGTGTTTTGATTATTTATCCTTATTTCTTTTTGGTAGGGGGGATTTCAAAAAAACTATTATCATTATTATCAAAATCAAGAAAAAAGTAGAACAAAGCATTGCAATCTCTTTATTTAATATATATTATGTTATATTTATTTATGTATGATTCATTGTAATTATTCTGCTCCTTGTGGGCGCTTTGATTAGCCAACTTGAAATAAAGTATCTGCATCTGTATATGTATCTAATAGACAATTCCTTTGTGAAACATACAGATGATTCGGCAATGTACCGTTGTAGAGAATTGAAGCTTAGTTATCCATACAAACAAGGCCAGTAAGTCCTCAGATTTGCTGTTCATAATGTAATGTTCAAAAGTTTGTATTTCCCGCTATTTTAACTTGTTGAGTCCTTCTGGATCTCTTATGATTTTACCTTGCAGGTAAACAAAATTGTGTTTTCCGAATGTAAATTAGTGATGTAAACAGGAATGGCGGACGAGGAAAATCCTCATTTGAAACATAGGTATTTTGTGTATTTATAGCAAAATTTTCTATTTTAAAAGCTCAAAGACAAAACTTAAACTCATAATTTTACTTTACTGAACGTTCTAACAAGTTGTCATTTTGTGAGTATATATGGAAACGTGTTTTCATTTCGATACGCCCTCTGACTGAGCCCTCCCTCTCTCAATTTAATAAGGACCTGGAGTATGAAGGCGGAGACATGTATAGTAGTATATATGTCTCTGAAGAAGGTGACTTTTTCTACTATGTCAGTATGATTGATTGCTTGCTGAGGTCCAGTCAATGATAAATTTGTTCTACAGTTCTCATCTGCTCATGGATCAAGATTGACAACTAAATTCAGTATGTATGTGTAGTGGTTATAGTTAATTTTAGATAAAGATAGCGAGCTGCAGAAGGTAGCTCTTTGGTTCTGTACTGATATCGCTGCTAATATAAGATTTATGAGGCCCATGGCCATGGGTCTATAAAATAAAGGCAACAGTAGTATACAAATGTTCCTGTATACCGCTGTTCAATAGTCATAAATCGATTAAGTGAAAACAAATCCGGGTCACAAACCAATAACCGAGGGAAACAAATCAACTATAAGAGGAAAACAATGGAACAACAGAAACACTGAACTACTACAAAAACAAACGCCAACATACATAGAAACGGACTAATTGATAACAACTGCCATATTCCTGACTTGGTACTCTATACATTACCAAAATGACCAATAATTTCCAAAGGTTCTTTTAGAGAGCTACAGTCACAATTGTGGGGACAACCCTCCAAATGAGGAAAAGTTCCCCAAATGAGTAACTCTCCCTCAAATTTTCCAAAAGATGAATAGCCCTCACAAGGGCTCACTTGATTTACTGTGAAGTTACAAGCCAATGAAAACTTAAAAAATGGACATTGTGTTAGGGAAATGTTTCCAATTTGGTGGGCTGTCTCCAACCTGCTCACAGCTACTGTGGTCCATGCATGTCTTACACATACATCATCATTACATGTGACAGAGTTGTCAAGTCACAACTGGAGATTTGAAAATTTTCAGCTGGAGTTTGGGCCTCATAACGAGATTTTTTATAGACATATTTATCGCCGTTTTCAGTGTTCATTTTGATGATAAAGCTACGTTCTTCCCCTTTTTTTTAATTATAACAGTATTACTATTAATGTATTCTCTCTGTACTGTTACCATGTGAAATATTTGTCAACACTAAGCAAAAAAATATTATTTGTATGTGATTTTGTTTCCTTTCCTCATCTTTGTCATCATTAGTGTGTTTCTCAGTTCTATCATCCAATAATTATAAATGTGTTTTACAGTGTTATTCCATTTTTGTAGCTAATTTTGATTTTGCCATGTTTAGCATAAACACTCACTCAGTCCTTATATGATGTTGAGAGCAGGCATGGGGTAATGCAAATTTGTAATTGTAATGCATGGTAATGTGTCATGGTGTGTTATTTGACTTATATTTGTGTTAGTGTTATTTTGGATAAAAAATATGTTTTATTTTAAGAAAGAAAATTTTATGTTTGTATTTTGCAAAATTTTTAATTAAGCCGTTTAATTAATTTTTACCTATGTAGTGGCATTAGTACTCAAAATGCCACAGTTTGCTCAAAGCACTTTGTATTGAAATATTAATTGTAATTAGCATATGTCACTTTGAAAGTTTAAGATTTTATCAAAACATTATAGGATTAGGCTTTGTTAATTAAAGTCTATTTTTGCTAATGAGAGTAATATTAACATGTCGAGATATATTTATTTATTTTTGGATTTAGTATAAATATCGTTGTGAAATTTAGGAAAGGCAGTCACCTTTCGGAAACCTAAACTTGCACTGCTAAAGTCTACTATACTGGATCTGTAAGACTGTTGATCAGTCTACCAGTTGACTTTGTAGTGTTAGACAAAAATGTTATTTTTGACTCACCTTTTATTTTTGATAATTTTTTAGAAAACAGTCAGTGTTTCGGAAGCGTAACCTCTCACTACTCACGTCATGATACTGGACCTATAAGACTGTCTACCAGTCTACCAGTTGACGGTTTAGTGTTGAGACAAAATTTATTTCTGACTCATAATTTAACTTTAGAAAATACTTTTGAGAATCTTTTATTTTTGAGACTTTTACATTTTGATTTTGAGATTAAGTTCATTTTATGATTTAGTAGTTTTGGCATTTATTTTACATTTTACATTGTAAGGAGAAATAGTTTTACTTTGGATTTGATATTTAGATTTGATACTTTGTACTTTAATTATTATTATTATTTGGCATTGTTTAATAATTGATTGTTATCATCATTCCTCTAAATTGTTATTGCTAATTAAATTATGAAAACCTTCCTTGCGTTTTAGCTATGCCTATCAGAACATTAAGTCTAGCGATAGACTGACCCCCTGTCCCTTGGTTCCAGCACATACGAGTTAGCTCCCCCTTATCTAACAGTGCTCTGTGGGACCTTGGTGACAGATATGGTGGAGGACCCGGGCATGATACAAATGAAATTCTGAAACAGCATAGCTAGAATGTAGGTTGGCAAAATTCATTCAAAATTATCTAAAACTTAAATTTTCAAAATTGAAACAACAGCAGGAGAGACAATGAGAGGAAGAGAGAACCAGTAACAGCAGAGACAAGTTGCAGATTCAACAACACACAACTAAAAGATAAGTACATCTTGCTTATTATATTACGCTTTAACATTTTAAGTGAAGAGTACAGATGTATGTTGATTCTTGGTGTGAATCTGTAATTTTATAATATTTGTCAACTTTACAGAAGTTAACGTTCAGTTCAGGAGAAACTTTATTTGTGCAATTAATTTTATATGATTGGGAAATTTGACTCATAGTAGAGAGAATATAACATAAACAAGATATTGACAAAAATTCCTTTTAGTTTCAGTTTGGTAATTGGAATAGAAAAATCATGGGAAGAAAGAGTATTTCAAAAGGATGGTGCTGCCAAAAAGACAGATGTGCCAGGCTATCCAGTGTTATACCAGGGACAGCAAGTTTCCAGTTCACAACAACCATGGAGAGGAACTTTGTTGAAATTGGACTAGAGAACCGTCAAGTGAGATGTTTAGTCGACAGTGGAGCTTCTTTTAGCTGTATCAGCCAACATCAATTATACTGTCTAAACACTACTACAGCCATACAGAAATCAATGATCAATAGTGCAGTCGGTGTCTGTGGAGAAGTACATGCAATAATTGGTGAAATAGTGCTACAACTTTCTTTTGGACAATACAAAGTTAACCAGAAATTCCGTATATTTGAAACGCTACATGCAAAAGCTATTTTAGGATTGGATTTTTTGAGAGTCAATAAAGTAAAAACAGATTTTGAAAACATGACTTTAACGATACCGACTCAGAAGAATACAGAAATGAACATTGAACATCATGACAGTGCTGGTCATGTTACCATAGCAACCTTCCAAGACAGTAGTACATAGAAAACAATCAGTTTCTATCTTTTTTTTGTAGTTCTAGGAATTAATAGGAGTGCACGCCTGTTGGTTCTTTTTACTACATCAATTTGAATTTTGGATTACAGGGATATTATTTTATAATTCATCTGTTAAATTTCCTAACAAGAAAATACAGGTTGCATTGGGAGAAGCTAGCTAGCTGACAATTATTGTACATATCTTTTTCTTACTGGCGCCAGGTTATAGTTTGTACAGAGTGTATTGAGATATTTTTAGGTGTTCCTATGTAAATGTTTATATCATGTTTGGGGACAAACATATAAGAGTAGGGGGGAATATGTCATGGTGTGTTATTTGACTTATATTTGTGTAAGTGTTATTTTGGATAAAAAATATGTTTTATTTTAAGAAAGAAAATTTTATGTTTGTATTTTGTAAAATTTTTAATTAAGCCGTTTAATTAATTTTTACCTATGTAGTGGCATTAGTACTCAAAATGCCACAGTTTGCTCAAAGCACTTTGTATTTTGTGGCAGGGTCTAACGGTACCTGCCAGAATCCTGAATGAAGGTCGATAGTTGAATAAAGCTCAGGCTTGGCATCAGCTAAAGTATCCAAAATGTCAGACATGTGTGGAATTCCAAATGAAAGTGGCTCTGTTATCTTGTTTAGCACACGGAAGTCCACACAAAAACGAAATTCACCATTTTGCTTCTTCACGAGAACTACAGGGCTGTGGAAAGGTGATGTAGACTCTTCGATGATACCATGTCTCTCCATTTCATCCAGTTGTCGCTCGATCTCAGCACGCATCTGTGGTGATTGACGATAAGGTGCTAAACTAACAACCTTATCACCTTTTGTATGAATGGTATGGTAATGCATTTCAGTTTTACCAAGTTCAGATAAATCGAGATATATTTATTTATTTTTGGATTTAGTATAAATATCGTTGTGAAATTTAGGAAAGGCAGTCACCTTTCGGAAACCTAAACTTGCACTGCTAAAGTCTACTATACTGGATCTGTAAGACTGTTGATCAGTCTACCAGTTGACTTTGTAGTGTTAGACAAAAATGTTATTTTTGACTCACCTTTTATTTTTGATAATTTTTTAGAAAACAGTCAGTGTTTCGGAAGCGTAACCTCTCACTACTCACGTCATGATACTGGACCTATAAGACTGTCTACCAGTCTACCAGTTGACGGTTTAGTGTTGAGACAAAATTTATTTCTGACTCATAATTTAACTTTAGAAAATACTTTTGAGATTAAGTTCATTTTATGATTTAGTAGTTTTGGCATTTATTTTACATTTTACATTGTAAGGAGAAATAGTTTTACTTTGGATTTGATATTTAGATTTGATACTTTGTACTTTAATTATTATTATTATTTGGCATTGTTTAATAATTGATTGTTATCATCATTCCTCTAAATTGTTATTGCTAATTAAATTATGAAAACCTTCCTTGCATTTTAGCTATGCCTATCAGAACATTAAGTCTAGCGATAGACTGACCCCCTGTCCCTTAGTTCCAGCACATACGAGTTAGCTCCCCCTTATCTAACAGTGCTCTGTGGGACCTTGGTGACAGAATGCATTACAGTTTTCCAAGTAATTGCATGCAATGTGTAATTCAGCAATTTTAGCATTACATGTAATTGTAATTTAATGCATTACTTTAGCAAAAAGTTGTGTAATTTTATGCATTACATTGCATTACATGGCATTACTTTTTTTCTGATACTATATATATATATCTTTTAACAGATTAACTGATATTTAATAAAAGCAGAACATAAGATATCTTGATTAACTAAAAAGTTATCATTTGAATATTGATTTTCTATTTATTTTTCACACTTTACCCACTTGTACTTAATCATAGAGAATGGGATTATCATTCTCTTACTTAGTTTTTTATTCAATATATTTCATATATTTTCCTGCATAAAAAGATTGATATTTGAAAAGCATTACTGTAAAAGTGTTCCATTGTTGTCAAAAGATCAGAGATTACCTTGTCATAATCGAATAACAGATAATTGAACAGTGTCCATGTTGTCATAAAACACTAATTAGTTTGTTTTACAATCAACAACATTTGGTCATAAATTAAGTTCTGTGTTTATTTTATAATTAGGAAAGAATTTCTCAATAAATATTTTGATTGAAATTAAAAAAAACAAAAAACAAATATATATTTATAAAAGAAAAGTTAACATTAAGTTAAAATGAAGATTACACTTCATCTCTGTCACTTCTTTTTAGAGAAACACAGATATGTATTATATATTGAAACTTTAAAATCAAAGATAGAAGAGCAACCAACTTTGATAAGTTTTGTGAAACAGTCAGGTAGTCCGAAATATCATTGGGATGATCCTAAGCAAGAGGAGGCTACAGATGCATTAATTCAGTATATTGCTGGTGATTTACTTCTGTTTGCTACAATTGATAGCCAAAACTTCAAGAATGTTGTAAAAACTTGACACAAAATTTAACATTCCAAGCAGAAAAAATCTCTCGTCTAAACTTATTCATACTAAAGCCAAGGATATGCTTGAATCTTTTGTGATTTCATGTTGTTTTTCAAAATGTTTGATTTTTCTTTTCACTTGATAATAAAATTTTAAAATGTAATGTGAAATTCAATGTATAACTTTTCAAAAGTAATTGTAATTTAATGCATTACTTTGATTAATGCATGATGATGTAATTGTAATTTAATGTATGGTTTTGTCAAAGTAATTGTAATGTAATGCATTACATTGCAATGTAATTCCCCCCATGCCTGGTTGAGAGTGGTTTTTAACATCCTTGACTACCCATGAGGGTCTTGCTCGCTCTGCCCTGGCTTATACCTTTTTGGGCCTAGTCATTAAGTAAGGTCAATACACACTTTATAAATTTCAATTTGAGCAATGAAAAGAAGTATAGATCTCACTAATAATTTTCAAAATAATATTTTCTTATTTGTCCTAAGACATTCAAAATCATTAAATTACCATCCTTATATGATTCTTTGTTCAATTTGTATTTCATTCATATTCTTTTGTCAATTAATATTATTTTAAGGAGGGTAACTTAAAACATGATAAAACAAGGGAAGTAACCCAAAATTTCTTTTAAGTGTTTTCAAATACACAAAGCTTTTATTACATAACGGCAGTTAGCCTGAGGTAAAAATCGTTGATTAATAGTATGTTTGACACCCAAGCTGTCAATTGAAGCCATATAATTATACAAGTTCTTTGATTTACAGGTAAAAATTACCTTCATCAGTGACAGAAAAACGTAATTTATGTTGACATCGATGTTAATAAAAAAAAGAGACTGACAAATTTTTTTGGGTTGAAATTTTGAAAAATACGGAAGATTTGAATTATAAACGGGAGGGATGGAAGAGGGCTTAAAAATTGAGAGATTTTGACTCCCGCCGGAAGAATCACATGTCTGCTTATATCTTTAGCATTTATGCTATATGTACCATATGCTGATCTGTAAATCCTATTCCCTATTGTGACATTTTGGCTAAGTGTGGATTGATATAGAGGGTGAAACATTCATTAGAGCAGACAACACTTACCCTGAGATCATGGGATTCTATCAGGTTTTGTTTTTTACCTTTGATTTGTATATCCTAAAAGGTTATAGGTATATATAATCTAAAGTTTCCTCTATTTAGAACATAAAAGTACTGTGTAGGATGTTAAACCACCCATTTATCTATACTATGTATACTATACCTATAAATGGTCTACAGAATTGCAATGAATATGAGTTCTTAAAATGAATAGTTCGTTGTGTGTAGAACCAATCTGCTGAGTCAAATCCTTTTCGACTGATTCTTACAGAATATGCTTTCAACAGATATCACAACACTAGCAGTGTGACTGATATGCTACATCGTCTAAATTGGCAAAAAGAAAAAACATGAAAGAATAAAAACCTGACTATGTTTCAAGTACATTAGTATATTCTCACTTAATGCTTGTCAAAAAAGTATTAACCCTACAATAAACCTAGTCAAAGAATGACAAAGATGAGCTAAAGGGCAGTTTTTTTTTTATGTTTTTAAATCCAATAAGCCAGAGGAGACAAAAATATTAAATATTACAATTGCGGACATGACCAGAGAACATCTAACTAATCAATGAATATGATTGATTGTTTCAGATTAGATCACCATTACTTGATAAACAGCTTGAAATCTGTGGTGGAAGGTTTATTGGCCACTCACAGTACAGATGTTTGGAGTACTTATGGTGGACTAAATCGTGTTACAAAAGAAGTAGAAAAAATTCTCTACCATGGATTGAGAAGTACACAGGTATTTTGTCTACCTGTCCTAATGTGGTCCATGTAATATCTAACAGTCTCCTACTTGATCTACAGGCCCAACTCTTTACATATAAAAAGAAGATGTGGTTTGATTGCCAATGAGTCATCTCTCCACCAGAGACCAAATGACATAGAAGTTATGATTGCCAATGAGACACCTCTCCACCACAGACCAAATGACATAAAAGTTAACAACTATATCATGCATATGTATATGTATACCTATATTGTATTTGATAAATTCCCCAAAAAGATTAGTGGGTCTGTAGTCCAAAATTTTTCTTTTTTTTGTGATAACTGATTTCAATTATATTACTCGAGACCTAGGCTACTAAATTTTGGTTTGGGTCTTAAATTTTAGATGAAAATCTCCATAGTGCTTCTGTTATTCTCTTAATTTATTGTGGAATGTTGGGCCCGTAGGTGGGAAATGTTAGTCTTTTTCCTGCAACTACTTCATTGTCTACTTGAATATTTCTATCACTGTTCCTATTAATCTTTTATTTGGATTTTTGTACACAATCCACTGATAATAAGATGACTGCAGTGTCAGAATTGCACTATTTCATCATTCAGAAACGTCTTGGAGAAATCTTTAATACATAATTGTGCATGTTAAGGTTTCATCATTCAGACTGATATTGGCTTGGCTGTATATTATATGTCAGAAATAAAGAACTTTTCTTGGTTATTGGCAAACCAGAACCAAGAATAAAATAACACAATCTGATTAAAATACAGGTCCTAGGTCCAAGCTTTGCTTACAAGGATATGAAAATGCTCCATTTTACTTTCTGTTTTGAATACCTTTGGACATCCTCTGCTTTTGTTGGATTAATACACACCTTCAAAAGTTTGAAGGCTGACATTCCATAGGCTGATGTAATAATTACCAGACCAGGAAGTAAAACAGAGTGTTGTCAGATCCTTGTAAGTAAAGCTTGGACACTGGATCTGTATTGTAATCAGATTGGAATTAACATCAATTAATGTTGTGTTAGGCTATTAACATCAATTAATGTTGTGTTAGGCTATTAACATCAATTAATGTTGTGTTAGGCTCTACAAAAGTACTAAAATGAATACAGTATGAATGACTGTATCAGTTCAGATGATTTGTTTTTGTTTTGTTTGTGTGATTCTATAAACCATCATTTAACAATCTGTCTTATTTTTATGATAAACGTTTTATCAATGACTCTGTCAATTATAAAGTTAATTTATAACCAGTTTAGCCAAATTGTATACATAACTTGTTAAACAATATTTCAGGGAAAGTTTGGAAGTCAGGTGGATTTTTGGCCCTTTGTACATGGACTTAAGAGGCTGAATCCTATCCAGTCTCCATCTATTGATAAAATCATTAGATTAGCCCACAGTACACAGGGCATTGATAAAGGTCATGTATGGGTGAAGGAAGGTTTAAGAGAACACAATCTTACAGCTCAACTACAGACTCTAGTACACAACAGAGAACATTTAAACCAGTTTTATTATGGTTTGTACACTTAATAAAATTGAAAATGGAAATGGGGAATATGTCAAAGAGCAGACAACAGCTGAAGGGCACCAATGGGTCTTCAACGCAGCGAGAAAATCCTGCACCCGGAGGTGGTCCTCAGCTGGCCCCTAAATAAAATTGTGTACTAGTTCAGTGAAAATGGACGTCATACTAAACTCCAAATCATATAAATGAACTAAAATTAAAAAACATACAAGACTAACTAAGGCCAGAGGCTCCTGACTAGGGACAGGCGTTAAAATGCGGCGGGGTTAAACATGTTTTGTGAGATCTCAACCCTCCCCTTATACCTCTAGCCAATGAAGAAAATTATACTTAAAAATGTATATAATAAGTATAACGATAAATAGACTATTTACACATTACAGACTTTTGACTGGAATTTATAATATTCCGACAGGTGACTTACTCTGCAATAAAACAATCTGGTACTCTGTCACGTAAGACCAACTGTAAGAAGTAAAATCAAGCTTAAATTCAGGACAAAACAGAAAAAAAAATTTTAAACCTAAAACAAAACAAGTAATTGTAAAATAATAAAAGGTTATTTTCATTTTCTAGCACTGAGTCAATACTTCTACTTGTTGACTGCTAGTTTCTTAAGGTTTTATCATCTCAGTAATTGTTTTCTATACTGACATGATTTATAACAATCATTTCTTAAATTCTTGTTGACAAATTTGGAAAGTATTAAAAAACTAAAATTTCAAATCCATCAGGCGAAGTTGACCTCAGTTTGATTTGTCTATTCTATTAGGTCTCTTTTGATCATTTTTAAAACTCTTCATGTACTTAAGTGTTTATACATCACTGGCTTCAAATTTCCTGTCCCTTAATAATTGAAGAAGTGATAATGACAGGTATAAAACAAAAATATAAAGATGTGTAGAAATATGTGCAGGGTTTTACCTGGGATTTTGTGAATTTTTGTTTTACCTGTTATTTTATGATTTTTTCCCCTGATTTACTGGTTTTAATTTCAGATTACAGTTTTCTAAATACCAAAGAGTACTTCCATTCTATGTGCCTATGTCTACAAGCAGTAGAACAGAACAGAGTTACCCTTTTGGCAGAACTAGATGTCAATCTTGTATGTTTTCTTTGTCAATATATATTTTTGTTCATCAGGTTTACAGTTTGATATAAAATAATTGATTATTCTATGTGCATAGTTGTTCTAATCAATCTTTAAACCAAAATGCAGAAATTCTGATAAACTGAATCCATTCAAACATGCTGCAACCATTTGTAACAGTTAAGCAGGAACCATATTATAAGTTATACGGTTTGCTACTAACCCCCTGCAAATCCATAGGGGGTCAATAGCTAACTGTATAACAAATTTATCGCACACAGGACTTTTCATGCCAAGTTTTGTATAAAAATAAACAATGACAAAATTAATGATATTAGACATGAAATCTACTGACCGCCTACACATCCATTGGTGGTCACCATGTGTAGGCATTAATCCAATCACATGGTCACTAATTTACCTGAGGTGCGATACATCAGTTGATGCTGCACAACAAGTTGATTTTCTTTTCCCTGAACAGATATAATTCATCTTATAAACATGTATGTAGATATATGCTGTGAATCTGTTTTAATTCAATCATATGTTTTTCTTTTTTTGCAAAAAGTTAAGTGGAAAAAGAAAACCTGATGTTAAGAGAAGTGAATCATTGCCAGTTATGAGAAGGGCTTCCAGTCACCATGAGGCTTTGGCACTTGCACCACGTTTTGCATCTCCAAGACAGGAGAGTGTATTTTCTTTGTCAGATGAGCATGCTATACCTGTTAATGTTGGTATGCAATACAATTTTATAATTCAAACATTCTGCTGATAAAATAAAGTAGGGGTTGTAAAGCAAGGGTCTGAAAACAGGATTATTTTCCTGCCATGACTATTTCAGATACAAAAAAATGAAATTAGATTCCTAATTTTAGTCAATTTGAAGTTTTGAATTTACTAAGATCAGAATTTTTCAATACTTTTTTGGTCTTTAATTGCAATATTTTGGTTAGTAGTTACGAAATCCTGATTGCAATGCTTTTCTGTTTCAACAATAAAACTCAATCTTGGTATTTTCTGACAATCAGTAGGTTAAAGCAACAGTGCAAACACAATAATGACTATAGGTTGATAAATGGTCACATGGTATTTCTATTTTAGTAAAAACTAAATTATTTTATGATATGAATATTTTTCGATATACACTTATAGGTAGTGCCTCTCCGGTAGAAGCAAAGATGTTGGCAAGAGATGCTTTAAGAACTGTTTTGCGAAAATCTGGCTCTGATTCCCCAACTGATTCTCCAGAAGCAGGATTTAGTTTCTATGACAACAATACAGAAGATCCTTTGTCTCATGTTTCCATGACAGAACATATAGCAGATTCTAAAGAAAGTTCATCTGAAGATCAAACTCCTCAGGGAAAGTTGCCAAGCAAATCAACACTGTCTTCTGTTAAAAAGTCTTTGACCCCTGACCCTATTGGAAGTTCTGAAAAAAATTACAGTGGTAGACCTGGAGAAATTTTCTCTGATTCAGAAACATTGACTGAAGAAAAAAGGAATGTTGTAATGAGAACTTCAAAAGCAACAAAGAAAGGTCATAAAAGATCTAGGTCAGATATGTCATGGCTCAATGCAGTAACAAAACCTCAAAGAACAACGAGAAAACATAGTGAAGATATTGTAGGAGCACCAGAAGTAGATTCAGGTATTTGTGGTAGATAAAAATTTTGATAATTTATTCCTTCTCATGAGCAGATCCATGGTCCGAGAAAAGGGGGCGTAATTGTTAAAAATGTTATAAATAATGCAGAGTGTAGAGAGGCAAAAAAGGTTTTTGAAGATTTTAAGCTAAAAATTATATTTTTTTCTGATCAAAAGAGATATATGCCCTGTAAAATTTTAACATATTTCTTCATTGGCATATATAAAAAAAATTATCCTCAAACTCAATCTTATAGGCTAAATGATTAAACATTATTTTAAAATTTTAATACAAAAACCCTTTAATTTTGATTCAATTCAGATTGGAGAATAGTAGATACAAATAAAATGAGATTTGGGTATATGCCAGTGAGGAGGAATCCAATTAAACAATCAAAACACATCTTAAATCAACATATATGATATAATCTTCACCAAGTATCTATACCAATGATCAATCTGTAAATCGACCAAGTCTAAAAAAGTAGTAAATAATTTTACAAAAAGCCACTGAATGGATTCCAAACAAACTTATTTGACTTTTACTGTTTGTAGGATGAATATAAACTAAAGAGATGTGGTATGAATGCCAATACAATAAGACAACTGTCAATCAAAGTCCAAATAAGGTGGATTTAAGCAGCTATAGGTCATTGTATGGCCATTAACAATTAGCAAAACCCATACCCTAAAGTCATCTATAAAATGCACTGTCATAACTTTCATACATCATAGATGTTCAGCACATATTGAGCTTTTTTTTTATGTAGGATTCCTATTATGAGACTTCTCTTTAGAATAAAACTACATGTTATAGCATGAGTGTTATGATAGCTGAAAAACAAATTTGATAAAGAATGATTGGTCTGAATTGTAGCACAGATATCTTTAGCAATGATCGAAGTCAAAACATGGCATGTATCTCCCTAACAAAGATTTCATAGTTTTAGATATTTCTCAAACCTAAAAATTTAAATGGCATTCATGAATTCTAATTATAGAAATGTATTTAGGAACAGATGTAAACTCCCCAGCCACACCAGAAGGATACATGGGTAAACCAGCTCAAGGGCAGTCACTCATCCATTATCTTTCAACGCAGGACTTCCATACTTGTGCCAATCTAGATAAAGTAAGTTGGAATACACAAGATAATATTTTGAAACATGTATTAGAAAAAACCTTTTGGTCCAGCTAGAGGTATTTGTCTTTACTTTTTATTATTGTTACTAAATATAAACATTGTGTGTATCTTAGAACATTGTTCTTCTTCTCAGATGTATATTTATTGTTTTGATTTTAAAGTTTAATGAAACTCTTTCTTGTTGCTCTTTTTAACAAGAAAGGAAATTAATAGGAAAATTCGCAGATTTAACAAAAAGCCTGTTACAATTTTCATATACATTCAATGCCAGTATGGTCATGTGAATCTGCATATTTTGGAAGCTTTTTCAGTTGATAACTTTTTGTCTCTAGTTTTTTGGCGAAATTTTGATATTTTATTATTTTTATGTATCAGACTAAGTTTTCACCTGTCACAAGAGCAGCATTTTGCAAATGTAAAATCTACAATTTTACCATAAACTATAGAAATCAACTTTTCCTGCTGTATAGGAAGGCCCTCAAAGTTGTTTATTATATCCCCTATCTAGGAGTGGGGCATATATGCAGTCACTTTGTCTGTTTCTCTGTCTGTTCATCCATCAAATATTTTCGCCACACTTTTCTCTGGTACTATTGAACAGAAAGAGTTCTTCAAATAGTGGTGAGTTGTAACATGTGAACTTTTTTGGATCTATCAGAAACCTTCTTCCTGTTTTGTGGTACTTTGAATTTTTTAATACTATAGGTTGAATGAAAACAAACAGCTTATTCGTACTTTCTTAGGTCAAGATCATCAGCTTGAAAGTGATGAGTTGTAACTTATCAGAGCTTATTGAATCTGTGAGACACCTATTTCCTGTTATCTGATACTTTGATTACTAGAAGGGGTAGTGGCTGTCGTTTGTTGGTGTTGTTCATAGGTGTTTCTTGTTTCTCGATTTTTATATAGATTAGACCGTTTGAATTGTTTTACACTAGTCATTTTGGCCCAGGGGCCCTTCATAACTTGCTGTTTGGTGGGAGCCAAAGCTCCGTGTTGAAGGCCGTACTTTGACTTTTAATTGTTAACTTTTTATACATTGTGACTTGGATGGAGAGTTGTCTTGGCACTCATACCACAGCTTCTTATTTATATTAGAATAACAACTTCTTCTTGCAGTTCATATTAAGTACATGTTTTTATGTTTAAACATATGTATATTTAAGGAAAATGCACACTTCAGTATATCAGAAGCATTGATTGCAGCCATAGAACAAATGAAATGGAACCATATTATTTCACCACATCAGAATCAGGAAAATGAAGAAGAGGATTCAGACGAGGAAATACAGCAGTTAAAACAAAGGATAAGGATAAGGAAAAGAGAAAGATTAAAAGAGGTAAACACTGTATTATCATACTGACTTAAGATTGATCATCAAATTTCTGGTTTTATTGTTTTTATCTTTATTCAAAGATGCTTTGGATTTGTAAAAGAAAAGAAATAAAATAAATATGTAAAAAAAAAAAATTACTTTTTCTGTATTTTGAAGTTAAATTTGTTTTTGATTTATTTAATAAATAAATTTAAAATGATTATTTATAAACAATGAGGGAAATACCATATTCAAATGTTCATTTAAGATTTTGACCAGACTTTTAGATAAATTTTATCTTTCAAAACAAATGATTAGAATTTTATAGATTTTAAAAATAGTTAATTAGTGTTTATTACAATAAAACAGTACTATTTCTAAAAAATTATAGCTTGGAAAAAAATTCCTAGAAAAAACATTGCTCTAAATATAAAGAATGTAAAAGTGTATGAATATATATCTTCAAGCTATTTGATTTTTTATAGAAAGCCCGTGGATTACCAGCTTTCAGTGATGGTGTAACTGACAGTAAGTTTAGATTTAAAAGGTGTCAAATTGTACCAAATCTTACCTAATCTTACTGTTGTTATTTAGTTTATTTTTCATTTGTTTAAATACAAAAGCGTTTGATTGCTAATGTTTTATAGTAATAATAAACAGCTTTTCTTAACACCATACTAGGAATATCTAGGATGTATATATGTATTTTTTTTTTTATTAATTGCATCAGCTTGAGTGGTCTTCTTTTGCCATGCTGTCACAAATTGCAAAATCAAAATTAACATAGGGAAGAGCTATCATGATAAATTTTCAGTCAGTAATGAACAGACAAGAAGTAAAACAAGTATATTGCTTGTAATAAACAGTTGTTCTTAAAAGGTGTAAACCATACTCAATGAAAAGTAAGAGAAAATGGTTATCAAAATGGTTTCATGAAGGGCTGATTTTTTATAGGAAGAAGACCTCAAACTGTTAAAATTTATATTTCACTGTGCTATGTATTAGCTTCGTTTTTGTCTCCCAAGCAAATTGTGAGAAACATCGAGATACTTAGTCAGCAGCAAAGCCATGACAACATAACTTACTTTATAAAGCTTTATACTTTGGAGGAAGAACACCTGTTTACTTCATATCTTGTATATAGATGCCCTTTGGTATGAACTTTCTGTCTGGCATATGTCCATTGTCATTGACCTCATTATTATGAATTAAAGGATTACTATATTTGGTACATAGAATCATAGCAAGGTCTTTATGTCGGTCAGACAGGGTTCACCTGGTCACCTTACAGTTTGTTTCTCAGATACTTTAAGTTATATTATTGTATGGTGTACATGTTTTTCTAGCAGGGTTCATCTTACCTTGGACCTCTTTTTTAATAGTTTATTGGTCAACTTTACGTTTTCATGTTTATGTCTGTTTCTCAGATACTACAAGCATAGGTCAACTATATTTTGTGTATGGAATTATTGTAAGCTGACAGGGTTCATCTGACCTTGACCTCATTGTCATGGTTCTATGGTCAACTTTAAATTTTCATGGTAAGGTCTGTTTCTTAGATACTATAAGCAATTACTTGACTTTATTTGGTCGATGGAATGATTTTAACATACACCAGAGACCAAATGACATAGAAGTTAACAACTATAGTTCAAGGTATGGCCTTCAACAATGAGCAAAACCCATACCGCATAGTCAGCTATAAATGGCCCAGAAATGACAACTGTAAAGCAATTCAAACAAAGAAAACTAACGGCCTGATTTTGTACAAGCAATGAAGGAAAAACAAGTATGATATACAGCAACAATCAACAGCCACTGAATTACATGCTCCTGACTGTTTCTCAGATACTATACTTAAACATCAACTATATTTGGTTTAAAGAATGTTTTAAGGTGTACATGGCAATTTGGCAAGGTTCAACTGACTTCCACATCATTTTCATGTATAATTGATAATGTTAATGTTATTGTGATACCTCTAGTAAAGCCCTTATCTTAAAGACTTTCACCATGAAATTCAATCAAGATCAGTTAAGCAGGCAAGACATTTCAGCATGTGGACTCGTGTGTTTTTATTATTATTGTGAGCTTAATTGTGTTTATTTTGCCAACTACAGAAGAATAAAGGTGCTTGGAATGCAACCCTGATTACCGATTATTTAGCTCTTTATAAAGATGGAAATGAGGGATTCAAATGTTGTTTCCATATTTTATTGCTGTTGTTGAAAAATTATGCTTAATAGCTTTGTAGTATTCTTTTTATTGTGTGCTTAATTGTTGTGATTATATTAGCAGCTACTAGTCACAGTACATCACCAACATTCAGCTCCCCCATAGATACTGAAAACTCAGGTGAGTTTGTTGGAATGTTTAGCTCAATTTACAACCAATCACATTCCCTCAATAGATACTGCAGATTCAGGTTAGTTTGTTGGAATGTCTAGCTCAAAATACAACCAATCACATTCCCCCAATAGATACTGCAGTTTCAGGTTAGTTTGTTGGAATGTCTAGCTTGAAATACAACCAATCACACACTCCCAATAGATACTACAGATTCAGTTTAGTTTGTTGGAATGTCTAGTTTAAAATACCCACTCCTAGATACTGCAGTTTTGTGTTAGTATGTTGGTAAGTCTAGTTCAGGTTACTACCATTCAGCTCCCCATAGATTCAGGATTCTCAAGATGACAACAGTCACATCAGGATTAGTCTTAGTAAAACAAAGCCCTTTAAATACTGAAATATAAGCATTCATTAGAAAAATGTATAGGCAAATTTTTCTCCGAATAGTTGTATCTGAGAAAATTCTGATGAGAATTGCATCCTTGATAAGCCCATCTGATTTAATATGCTTTGATTTTGGAATTTTTTAGCGTAAAAACTGTTAGAAAGTAAAGGGTAATTTGAATAGACCTTGATGATCTGTAGCATATAAGTTTAGAATGTGAAGAATATATGAGTGGTTTTGATAATGTTGCTGGAAACAGGAACAGAATAAAAAAAAGAAAGATATGGTGTGATTGTAAACGAGACAACTATCTACCATTGACCAAATGATGTAGGCTTCTTTTAAACACATACAGCTTTTGAAGAATTGTTTAATACATTACTAGAATACTGATGACTGTTTTTTTTATAGAATTGTCACACAGCTTAATTTTTTTACAATAACGTCTCCAACAGGTTCAAAAATTTATATGGTCAATTTTATTTGAAATTCTAGTGTAAGATACAAAAACCTTAATGATGCCTGTTACCAAATGAAATAAATGTTAATGCTGCTATAAAGGTTGAGTGGTATGTTGAAGCTAAACATATGGTTAGTGCAAGTATAGCAACTTTCATAATATGTAATTGTTGTTAAAAAAACATTCAGTCACAAATGAAAAAAATTATACAAGTTCAGAGGACTGGTGTAAATTTGATGACAAACTCATTTTAATATTTTGAAAATTTTAGATAGTAGTGACTCAAGTGCAATTGACGACGAACAAATAGAACTTACAAGTAAGTTATAAATATGTATACATTTTAATATATAAAAATGTTTTTCTGTTACAAATCATGATGTATTGTTTTATGTGTACATGTTATGCTGCCCATCAAGGGCCCTTGATTGGAATAATAAATATTCTTATTCTTATTCTTATACATTGTGTAGTTACATACAGATAGTATATTTTGTGGTTCATCCTATACTTCAGATTCACCATTTTCCATCCTTATATCAGCAATACCTTTAACTTATTATTAATTTCTTATTTAATTGTTTAACACCTACATGCAATTCTTTAATGAATGATCGTCATAAATTTTATTTATTTATGGTGTTATGCAAGTAGTTGTTATTCATGTAATTGTTAACATCAGGGTATCTATGTGTTACTGATACATAATTAAGTAAAATCCCAGTTACAGGATACCAGCCGAGTACCCAGGAATGAATTCCCTTTATAAATCTACCATCTTTTAAATTGGATATTGTACCGAGATGAAAATTATGTAAATGTGCTTAAATTTGTAGTATTTTAAAGGGTATTCATTAAACTTTCAACTTCTATTAATTTTTGTGTCATTCTGTAATACATATGGTGGATGATATTCTGAATAACTGGTCCAAATTTCATTTTTGAATTTAGCTAGGAAGTGAATAAAATGACCCTATTAATACTTAAAACAGTTTTGCTCTTCTAAATATTGGTTATGACCCATAAGAATTGTCCCAGACACTTTGAAAAGGGGCTACAAGTATGAGAAAGTAATTGAAATTTGGCAGTCAAATATAGGGAATATGAAATAAGTCCTTTTAATTATGATAAAATTGCATTGAAGTAATGGGGGAAATAATTGGGTCCCCATTCCACCTAGTTTATTTATCAGTTTCAAGTATCAAGATAAGGTCAGTTTCTCATATGCTTTAAGCAGTAGGTCAACTATATTTGGTGTAAGTTTGGAATGATTGTTAGATGAACATAAGTCAGTCTGGAAGGGTTTATCTCATCTGTATCTTATTTTGATGGATCTTGATAATGTTAACTTATGTGATGTCTATAAATGTTAATATTGAGCTAAATTTTTCATTTCAGTGTCAGAAAATATAAGTGAGAATAATTTGTTATTGATGAAGAAAGATGGAATGTCCTTATCACTTGCTTCATTATATTCAGGTAAACATGCTTGTAATGAAACCAAATGTTCTTTAATAAAATAGACTGATACAGTTGTTTACCATCAGATCTTTACTTATCTTTGGTTGATAATACGCTTGTGGTAAAACAGACTCCTATTTCCCCTTTCCATTCTCTTTCCTATTAATTTTGAGGTCATTTGGTCAAATTTCAAGGTCACAGCAGCAATTAATAGGCTTAAATTTTTGCAACATTTTGTTTTCAATCATTTAAAATGTTTCAGTTTTCATAATAGATAATATTTAAAAAAATACCATACACTTAAAACTGTTTCTTCAACTACAAATCCATAAGATTGTAACTAGCCTTGTGCAACAATACTGATTTGGAAATTTTGATAATCTTGACTGAAAGGATTTTTTCATGTATGAATTATTTGCAGATGGTGATATCCAAGACAGAAATAGTAAGATGCTAGACAGACAAGGGTAAGCCATTTAGACATCAAGTGAAATAAAAAAGGATTACTTAAACTTTAATATTTTGAGCTTGAGGCAAAATTCTTCAATTTTTACAGGAAATATCAAATAGATTTATCCTCAATTTTACAATACTTTTGTCCTATTCTTTGAATCTTTGTAATATATAAGACAAACAGGCTTTAAAACTCATACAGAAAATAAATAAAACAACAAAATATTTCTGCTCTATATATTAGTATGTGAATTTTACAACCAATACTGTGATCAGCAATTTTATTTCATTTATACTGCAGCTAGAACACTTCCTGTTGTCTATCTACCAAATATAGTTGATTCATGTCATGTCAATTTTCTTCACAATTTGGGGTTCGTTAAAGGATGGAAATGCATTTTATATTTTGTATAAACATTTTCATAATTATAACTATAATTGTAGGCATTTTTAGCTGTAGTATAAAAACAATGTTAGGTCAATGTTAAATATCCACTTTTTAGCTCACCAGGGCCCGAAGGGCCCATGTGAGCTTATGCCATCACTTCGCGTCCGTCGTCTGTCGTCATCGTAAACTATTTCAAAAATCTTCTCCTCTGAAACTACTGGGCCAAATACCTTCAAACTTCAACTAAATGTTCCTTAGGGTATCTAGTTTATAAATTGTATCCGAAGTTTTGATCCTTTGACAAACATGGCCGCCATGGCTAAAAATAGAACATAAGGGTCAAATGCAGTTTTTGGCTTATATCTCAAAAACTAAAGCTTTTAGAGCAAATCTGACATGGGGTAAAGTTGTTCAATTGGTCAAGATCTATCAGCTCTGAAATTTTCAGACGAATCGAACAACCCATTGTTGGGTTGCTGCCACCGAATTGGTAGTTTTAACAAAATTTTGCAGTTTTTTGTTATTATTTTGAATATTATTATAGATATATATAAACTGTAAGCAGCAATAATGTTCAGCAAAGTAAGATCTACAAAAAAGTTAATATGACCAAAATTGTCAATTGACCCCTTAAGGAGTTATTGCCCTTTAAAGACAATTTTACACAATTTGTTCATCAAGTTTGCTAACATTTAAAAATCTTCTCCTCTGAAACACAGGTGAGCGATTCAGGCTCTTGAGAGCCTCTTGTTTCAATTCAGCATGAAACAGTTGAAGGGCTTGGTTAACCTTGCCCTTTCTCAGTTTCTAAGCCTCATACAAAAATTTAATATTTTTCTGACATTGAACTTATATTGTACATTTATTTGTTATAATGTTATGTAATATAACCAATAGCAACTACATAAACAAGCAATTATTTCACTAGATGCTACTCATTATAGCTGCTTGCATCTACTTATAAAGTGCTCATGTAGACTGTATATAATTATGTTTGTTCATAATTTTGTGGATGGCCTTGAATCATAATTTATGACCAAAAAAAAATGAAAAGATAGATTGCAACATGTAGGGAAAAGACAAAGAGACTCAAGCAATTAGATTTTTTTTAAAACCTTAATATTGTAAGATATATAATTTATAGCTCAGTTACTACAGAAAATGGTGTGAATGTAACCAACAGTTTATCAGCAGAGTCTGTTGCTATATCATTACTGAAGAAATTCTCAGAGAAACAACTTCCAAAGGCTTCAGATCTTGTCTGGCTTGTATCTGAAAGTGATGCTCCTCAGAAGGTGATTTATTTATGTGGTTTTATTTATAGTTGGCTGATAAGTTCAAATTCATGAGTTACCACTGAACTTTAGGCAATAAAAAGCAACACCCTATCAATCAAATTAATGAAAATACAAAAAAAAAAATTCAAAAGGTTAACAATTTGTTGGAAATTACAATATTTACACGGTGCTGATTAGATTTTTTTTGCATGGAACCATCTTTTGAAAAGTTTTTTTTTTTAAAAAGTTTGCACAACATAGTGCAGTGAGTTTAACATTTTAATCGAGCCTGCAATTTTTTGTGAGTGGAAGCCAGATATTGTGATCCTACATTATGGTGCAATTGTGTTCTCAACAAAAGGTTTAGTCTGTGGTTAAAGTTTAATTAAAAAAACATCAATTACTTTATCAAATCTTCATGGAGTTTTTGGAAACTTGGACAGAATCTTTTTTATGATCAATATGCAATATCAAGAGCAAAATTTTGGAAATGAATATCTCATATTACTGTATTTTAAGGATAAAAATACTTAGTTTTTTATGTATTTTAGACATCAATAACTCTGTTAAACCTTATTTGAATTTTATAATACCTAGAAAGAAGCTTTTTTTATGATGAAAATGTAAAATTTTGAAAATATTTTTATGCCCCACCTATGATAGTAAAGGGGCATTATGTTTTTCGGTCTGTGCGTCCGTTCGTTCGTTCGTCTGTCTGTCTGTCCTGCTTCAGGTTATAGTTTTTGGTCAAGGTAGTTTTTGATGAAGTTGAAGTCCAATCAACTTGAAACTAAAATACACATGTTCCCTATGATATGATCTTTCTAATTTTAATACCAAATTAGAGTTTTGACCCAAATTTCACGGTCCACTGAACATAGAAAATGATGGTGCGAGTGGAGGCATCCGTTTACTATGGACATATTCTTGTTTCTTCATTTTTCTGTATTGGACTGATAGATGGACAGTTTTTGGCACTTAACGTTTACATACAGTCTGGAATTTAATATTTTAGACATCAATGAATTTAATAAACCTTCATGGAATGTTATGAAACTTGGACAGGAGATTAAGAAATAGCATTTGAAGAATTTTTTTAAAAATATAAAATAAAAATTCTGTATTTTACTGTCAAATTGCCTTTTTTTAAAAGGACAGCAGCAATAACAGACGAGACACAGGTTTCTGTGGAACCCATTCCAAGTTTTTAAAATATTATCCATGCCAATTTCAAGCAATTTATTGATGATATTTACTCAGATATATTCAAATTACAGATTGATATGTATGTGTATGTAAACCATACTTGTCAAGAAAATTTATTAAAAAAAAGTTGCAGAGGTAGTTTTGCAAAAATAATAATACAATGTTTTTTAACCTCTCAATGCATAAATGTAGGAAAATTTTACCCTTCAGTGCTCACAAGCACTTTGATTTAAGTTAGACAGATATATTACCTTAAGGGGTGGCTTATATTTTTTCCAGAATAAGTCTGTAAGCTTTCATCCAGTGGTGTTGGTTTTACATATAATAATTTTTAATTGAGCTTCAGTGTGAGATTTAAAGTTCATAAATATATGTGTTCTGTGTGTTCTGCAGTGTACAGTATGTTTATTGTAGTTACTCCCAATGCCAGACTCCTATCCTATTTCTCCTGATGATGCTGAAGATTTGAAAACTAACAGATATCATACATTCCAGGTAAGATTAGTGTATAAAGTAAAATTATTAATGTATAAGGATTTGATTTTGATACACAGGAAATTCCTGCTACATAGGAAATACAGAAAAAAAAAAGTTTTGTATTTTACTGTGAATTTTGTATATTATCTTCTTAATCATACTTAAACATTGCATTATATTGCCATTATTCTTGAAATCCCTTGTTGATACAAAGAGGATGACTTCCATCATACAGAAATCTCTTAATTTCTATATTTAAAGTGAGAAATAAAAAAACTACATCTTTAAGTTAAATTAAATGAACCTTTTCAGAGGCTATTTTTCATTGTCATTCTATATCGCATTAAACCATGTTTTTGGTAATTTTGAATTTGCAATGATATAAATAATTTGTGTTCATTTTTCAAGTTGTGTGTTTAATATAAATGCCAAGCTTAGTGCTTGTAACTTACATTTCAGACCAGATTACGGGGTAACATGGAATGGGCTCCACCAAGACCTCAGATTATCTTTAATATCCATCAACGTCCTAAGTAAGTCAAATGATCTTTTTGTGTCAAATTTTGTTTTTAAACATTAAAAATGTTAGTATTTTTATTCACTCTAATCCATATTCATTTTTTTTCTAAAATATATTTACATATTTTATGTATATTGAGATGAAATGTTTGACAATAAGTAACTTTCAATCTCAGTAACAAGGCATACTTTATACACCACTATCAGGTTTCTCTGATGGAAATTGTGGTACTATACAAATTTTTCAGTAGTCCAGTATACCTGTGAATTTGGCTTGTCTAATAATCTGTTTATAGTAGCATCTATTACTGTATACCAGGTAGACAGAGAAGTCTCATCAAACGTACAGCATAAATATAACTGTGTTATTTGGAGAGAAATATTTGAATAAATCCTCTTTAAGTAGTGTGCTTTCTTAAGCACAGTCTTATATTCTTTTATGTACAGTAACAGTTTAAAGTATTTATAGTTTGAGATATTGAAATCATGAACTAAATAGTATAGTAATTTTGATATTATTACAGTAGGAAGAAAGCAATGGAGAAGCAGAATTATCTCTGTGCGGGTTGTGGTACAAGGGTTGAACCAGGTCAGTTAATATTTTATATGAAAATAAGAAGATGTTGTATCATTGCCATTGAGACAATTCTCTGTTAGAGACCAAATGACGTAGAAGTTTTATTACTGAATGTTTATTTATCCTTTTAATAAAATTGAGAATGGAAATGGGGAATGTGTCAAAGAGACAACAACCCGACCATAGAACAGACAACAGCAGAAGGTCACCAACAGGTCTTCAATGCAGCGAGAAATTCCCGCACCCGGAGGCGTCCTTCAGCTGGCCCCTAAACAAATATATATACTAGTTCAGTGATAATGAACGCCATACTAAACTCCAAATTGTACACAAGAAACTAAAATTAAAAATAATACAAGACTGACAAAGGCTAGAGGCTCCTGACTTGGGACAGGCGCAAAAATGCGGCGGGGTTAAACATGTTTATGAGATCTCAACCCTCCCCCTATACCTCTAGCCAATGTAGAAAAGTAAACGCATAACAATACGCACATTAAAATTCAGTTCAAGAGAAGTCCGAGTCTGATGTCAGAAGATGTAACCAAAGAAAATAAACAAAATGACAATAATACATAAATAACAACAGACTACTAGCAGTTAACTGACATGCCAGCTCCAGACTTCAATTAAACTGATTGAAAGATTATGTCTTCATCATATGAATATCAGGCACAATCCTTCCCGTTAGGGGTTTAGTATCATACCATCATAACATATATGAGAAGAACATAACCCGTGTCATGCCAACAACTGGTTTTTAAATAAATGTGTTTAGTGCCGATGCAAAGACCCTATAAGTGAATCAATATTAACGCCAAAATATGCAATCTTTAATGACCTGACAACAGTATCGTAACTATATCCCTTCTTAATAAGTCTATTTAAAGGTTTTGTTAGCTTCAGAGGTGAATACTGACATTTTTGTGCTTTATAAAGAATATTTCCATAAAAAATTGGATGTGAAATACCTGAACGTATAAGAAGTCTGCATGTAGAGCTATATTTACGAATGATGTCCTTATACCGATGATAAAATTTAGTAAATGTTTTGACTAGTTTGTGATATCGAAAACCCTGGTGTAATAATTTTTCAGTAATACATAAATTTCTCTCGTTAAAATCTAAAACATTGTTACATACACGAGCGAATCGTACAAGTTGAGATATATAAACACCGTAAGATGGTGACAAGGGAACGTCACCATCTAAAAATGGATAATTAACGATAGGAAATGAAAAATCATCTCTTTTATCATATATTTTAGTATTAAGCTTTCCGTTAATGATATAGATATCAAGATCGAGGAAAGGGCAGTGGTCATTGTTAGTATTAGCTTTATTTAAAGTAAGTTCAACAGGATAAATTTCATTACTTCTCTTATAAAAGAATTAATTTGAGTATGTGTGTATCCCTCTGGCTCACTGTAAAACTCATCTTAAATTGTTTATTGATTTCCTTGAACCCTATAAATCATTTGTGATAAACTGTGATCAACACCTATTATGTTATTTGGTTGTTTGGTCAAGAAGGTTTTAGAAAAACCTCCTTCACATGCAGAAGTTTGGTTGGTTAACCCAAAATATAAAAGTTTTGAGAGCATTAAAATTCAAATGGCCAAAACAGAAAAGCAATAAAAAAAAAACATCTGTCATCTTTCACTGAGGTAATACATTTTAGTTCAATCTTAGTTTTACTTCAATTACATTATTTATGATATAGAATTTTACAGACAAAATGAATCGTATACCTCATGCCATTTCTGAAGTACTGGTGACTCTGCAAAGTGTACCCCAAGGACTAATAGTCCTGAAAGCTGAAGTACCAACTTTGTGCAAGTAAAAAAATATTATACTAATTTTCATGCACACAGAACATGTTTATGGAATGATTTTTGACACTACATAGATTTTGCCCTTTCAACCATTGTCTTTTGATGAGGCTTGTACATCAGTAGAGCATTATGGTCTGAACTAATCTCTATTCAACCTATCATCATGGCTGAATACTTTCTAACAGATATGAAACATTTGTACACTCTTATTACTTTAATAAAAATAGCTCTGTGCTGGATAAATTTCATTATGAAATAATATTTTTCTTTTTTCAGGATACATCAGCAGATTTCGATACTGTGAATACTTAGGAAAATTTTTCTGTCAATGTTGCCATAGTAAATCTTTATCATATATTCCGGGAAGAATTCTGAAGAAATGGGACTTAAACAAATATCAAGTGTCAAACTTTGCCCATGACTTATTGACTAAGATCTATACGGAGCCTTTGTTCAATATCTCTGATATTAATCCATCATTATATAAGAAAGTGAAAAGTTTAGATAGTATTTTAGAATTACGACAGCAGTTACAATATGTGAAGAAATTCCTACTTATCTGTAAAGATGGTACCAAGTAAGTTCTTTTAAAATTTGGTTTAGAATACTTTGATTTAAGAGTTTGGGTACGCTTAGACAAACATTTGTGCATTCTTGTTTTTCCTAACATACCAAATATTGCTGCTATGAGAGTATTGATACCGCGATACTAGGGTATGTTTTCAATTACTTCTTTAAATGAATTGCTATACATACATTTGATTGATATTGAAAGCTAAATTACAAGGCTATTAATAATTTTTAGATTTGTATGATTTTCCTAGATTTTAAAACAAAATGTTTTTGTCATATTTACATTCTATTTCTATTTTTAGTTTTTACACTACATGTTTGTTTTCTTGTCAGATTGTTGAGTGATATAAAGAACCTACCACCATACTGGTCTGATGATTTTCACGTATACTCACTATGTGACCTTGTTAATGTACGTATGGAGTGTTGTGTTTCAGATATTATAGTCATAACTTGTAAGATATTTATTGTATTGTATTTATACATTAAAATGCACTCAATTGGATAACTCTTTAATTATTTTTGCATAATTCAGTTATTTGGATAGATTTCTTCTGCACAAAACCATTTTCTTTTCCTCTATAGTAAAAAATCTGGTCATTTGCATAGCTTGGTAATTGACCTTACTGTTAATTGCATAGAAAAAAATTGGCATATAGGTATGATTGTTCATACACAAAATCAAACATTGTCCAAAGACAATAGACTATTTTCATATTAAAGACTTTTGACTCTGGGGTATTTAATTTTTTTTACAGGTAACCTACTTTGTGGTAGGACAATCTGGTACTTGGTAAAGTAAGGGCAACAATTGTTGCAACTGCGGGAAAAAATTTAAATATTTTCCAATGATTTTATTGTGTATAGATAACATAAAACAATTAATATTTCCCCAAATTTGCAACGATAAAAAATTATATACTCCTAAGTCAAAAGTCGGTAATATGAAAATAGTCTCTTGACTACATTTTTGTTGAATTTTTTTTTATTTGTGTAATTTATGATTTTTTGCATTTCCTTCAAATACCAATTTTTTGAAGAGTAACACTCACAAACAAAAATCTGTAAAGGGTCACTTCACTTCTTTGCCTATACAGAAACTATATCAAAGGGAAATGAAAGAGTGTTACAACCTTGGCATGTCAAAGGCACTTAAGTACACTTTTATTATAAATAATATTATTATAAAGATAACAACTCTGTGTATAGTATAATATTTCATTTCAAATATGGATCACAGAAAACAAATTTACTTATAGATCAATTACAACTGTTTCTATTTTTTTCATTTTTCACATATAGGAAGTGTCATTAGACTGCAAACAGAATCTTATATTTAAACTCAATAATATTTCATCAGGCATTTATATTTTATTCAAATTCAATAATGTACATGTATGTTGATCACAGCACTTTATTGTTCTTTGGGGATTTCTGTTCCGTTCCATCTGGTATGACCTCAAATCCTTATTTAACGAAAGCACACTCTGTTTAATTGATACATTTTTCTTCGAAACAGACTTGCAAATAATTGAAATCCACTGTATTATAATTTATGAATTAGTGGAGTTATTTTAAGTTCATTTTTTAATATTTTAGGTAAAGAATCTACAAATGTTAAATCAGTTAAGGAATATAGTCACCTCATCATTAACTCATGTAGAAAATTGTCAGGTAAGTCTACTATATTACCACACCAATATAACCTGTGGAAAATTGTCAGGTAAGTCTACCATATTACCACACCAATATCACCATTTTGGCAAATCAGCATCATATATTTAAAATAGACTGGACTGGTATATACAAAATAACATAGTACCTTCATGAATATCACTCTTAGAAAATTGTCTGGTATGTAAGCATAAAATCCATTTAAGAATTTCTTAATAGATTAACTTTTTAAAGTGAATCAAAGGAGATGTGGAATATTCATTAATAAGACAGCAACCCAATGTCACAAAACACCCAAAAGTTACATTGTGGTGAACATAGTGTCTTAAATCAGTTATTTGTTTTAAAGTGTCACCAGAGATTTTATTTCTTGGATCATAGTATGCATATTGAAATGTCAGTAGTTACATTGATTTTTATAGGCTTGAAGAGATCTGTTATTGCTGAGTATTATATAAATATTACTTCTGTTATAACAAGGACAAAATAATGACAGTGGCCTGGTGTTTGAGTGGTCTAACTAGTTCATCTATTATGACTAGCCTTGTGAGTTTGAACCCCGTATGTGGCAGGTGTGTTTGACTCCAATCTTTATTGACAAGGATTGTCAGTTTCTCTGCTGAATGTTTTCTCCACCCATAAAAGCTGACTGTCACATCATAGCCAATAGTGATGAAAGTGGAGTCAAACACCAACAATCAATCAATCATTAAAATAATGACACACAACCCAATACATAACACCATTACATTTATAAGGAGCAAACATTGTAGTTAAGACTTAGAATCTGGTAACTCATCTTGGTATCAGCAAGTTTGAATAGATTTAAATAATTAATAAAGCTATTACAGAAAAATTGCATACAAAATGGCCACTTATAGGTAATCAGTTCTTTAAAAATTTTTTGTTTTTGTTATAGTTTTGCCAGGGACTTGGTTTTATATGTGAACTGTGCAGAAATAACTCTGATGTTATATTTCCATTTCAACTCAATAAGGTTGAAATTTGTCAAGGTGAGTAAATTTTAACAATAAAAACATAGAATTTTTATGCTCCCACCGCAGCAGAGGGCATTAAGTTTTACCCTTGTCCATCTATATGTCTGTCTGTACATCCGTTTGTCCCAAAATAAGTTTCCTTCTCTAACTGTAGTTTTCCCTAACCAAATGTTATGAAACTTATATACAATGCTTATTACCACCAAACACAGATTGAATTTGGGTGGCGTCACTTTGGCCGTTTTCGAGCTATGTCCCTTTATAAATGGAAAAATCTTCAAATTTGCAACTTCCGCACTCTATCTTTACTTTGCCACAACTAGATTGAAATAGTTCATTGACTCATGCATATTAACAAGCAGGGGCATCTGGGTCCAATGGACACATTCTTCTTGTTTATGTGTAACTTCTAAGTTATATTAAAATGTAAATTAATGAAGTATTTGCAAAAAAAAATTTGATGTTATATTAAAAATTTTGTTATATGATATCTTTTTCATGTAATTAGATTTTCAAAAGCTTTATATGCACATGCTTCTCTGGGCTAAGCTTATATCTTTTCCAAATATTAAGCCATAAAGCTGATGTTGATTATTTTGAAAGTTATTGTTTAATTTCTCTGTAATAAATATAAATGTTTCATTGTAATGATATTTCACACAATTTTAGACTATAAGTTTCATAATAGACAAATTTTGTGTTTCCTAATAAGTTTAGAATTGTAGAAGTGATGTTTTTTCAGATTCGTCTAAACTTAACTACTTGTAGGTTGTAAATCCTGTTTCCATAAAGACTGTTTTGTACCAGATAAATGTCCTAAATGTGCTAGATTAGAAGCTAGGTAGGTAAAACACATATTAATGTGGTGTTTTTTTTTATGTATTCTTGCTGTGTGTATGCTCTTTTATACAGCGATTACATACCTAATATTGGTTTTTTTTTTGGCATCAGGCCTAAGATATAGCAGTTGAATTTTCCCTGTTTCCATTATCAGTGTTTCATAACCTTGTACAATGCATTTAGATAACCGTGACATTTTCGCCGAGTGTTAGTTTGGTAGTAAAATGTCTACTGCAAAAGTAGCGAAAATTTCCTGATATAAGGTATTTATTCTTGAGTAATATCTGTTATGTCCACTACTTAATTTTTAGCTCACCTGGCCCGAAGGGCCAAGTGAGCTTTTCTCATCACTTGGCGTCCGTCGTCGTCGTTGTCCGTTGTCGTTAGCTTTTTACAAAAATCTTCTCCTCTGAAACCACTGGGCCAAATTTAACCAAACTTCATCATTAGGGTATCTAGTTTAAAAATGTGTCCGATGACCCAGCCAACCAACCAAGATGGCCACCATGGCTAAAAATAGAACATAGGGGTAAAATGTAGATTTTGGCTTATATCTCTGAAACCAAAGCATTAAGAGTAAATCTGACATCGGGTAAAACTGATTATCAGGTCAAGATCTATCTGCCCTGAAATTTTCAGACAAATCTGACAACCTGTTGTTGGGTTGCTGCCCCTGAATTGGTAATTTTAAGGAAATTTTGCAGTTTTTGGTTATTATCTTGAATATTATTATAGATAGAGATAAACTGTAAACAGCAATAATATTCAGCAAAGTAAGATCTACAAATAAGTTGTCATGACCAAAATTGTCAGTCGACCCCTTTAGGAGTAATTGCCCTTAATAGTCAATTTTTAACAATTTTTTGTAAATTTTTGTAATCTTTTACAAAAATCTTCTGCTCTGAAACTACTGAGACAAATTTAACCACACTTGGCCATAATCATTATTAGGGTATCTAGTTTCAAAAATTTGTCCGATGACCCCGCCTTCCAACCATCATGGCCGACTTGGTTAAAAATAGAACATAGGGGTAAAATGCAGTTTTTGGTTTATATCTCTGAAACTAAAGCATTTAGAGCAAATCTGACAGGTGACAAAAATGTTCATCAGACTTAGATTTATCTGCCCTGAAATTTTCAGACGAATCCGACAATCCGTTGTTGGGTTGCTGCCCCTGAGTAAGTAATTTTACAAAAATTTAGCAGTTTTTTTTTATTATCTTAGATATCATTATAATATCTAATATCTAATACTATTAATTATGATTTTAACCTTATTTTACATGATTTCCAAAGCATCAGTAAATACAGGTCAAATGCAGGTGAGCGACACAGGCTCTTGAGAGCCTCTAGTTCTTGCTCTCTGCCACTTTGTTTATTGAAATTGTTATGGAGTCCATCCATCCCTACTATTGCTCTATTCAAACCTAATTTCTAGGGCAAGATATCTAAAAAGTATTTTGTGTGTTATGTGTTTGTCAAAAAGTTTGTACTGTTTCTGTATTTTACAGAGAGATTTTTGGAACTTTTATGACAGTATTTGTTAGATGTTTTTGGCGTCCATAATTTTATGATTTGTTGATATTACCCAGCAACTGACTTTTTCAATGCACACTTTTAGTCTGATCAAAGTCTAGCAAAGAATTCAACTTCATCTTGTTGTGAGGTGAATGTGTGTGCTCTATGTTGAACGTAACACTGTGACTTTGGAATTAAGAACAGCAATAAATGTGCTGTTCCTTTGCTTTTGGATTTGTTATGTGCATGTAGTGATTTTGTGTGATGAATTAATACACGATATTCTTTTTTTTCCATTGCATACAAGTATATGTGGCCTTTATGTGATTAAGGCAATGTTAAATTACAATGCTTTTGGTCTTTAAAGATGTAACATTTAGTGTGGAATTTTTTTTTTTTTTTTTTTTTTTTTTTTTTTTTTTTTTTAATTTTTATTATTTATAACTTCCAATTTACAACATAATACAGTGTATACACAAATAATAACAATATATAATATATAAATCTATTGATATTATCTTAACAATACATCTTTTTATTAGGAAGCAAATTTTTTTTTAAATATACAAATATAAGATAAAGAGTAAAGCAGTCTGAACACCGGAGAGAGAGAGAAAGAGAGTGAGAGAAAATAGTGTGGTGAGTTTTCAATACAATTCATCTAGACATTGAATTCTATTTTAGCATAGTAAATACAGCATTTTCATTTATAACATGTATAATATTAAATTTAAAGTGTATACATTTTTGTACTTAACTAAGTAATCTATTAAAAATGTTCCATTCTCTGTGAAACTGATGTTCACATTTGTTTTTCATAGCAATATTTTTGTCAATTGCATACACATATTTCATCTTCTCTTTTACTGAGTTTATTGACAGTTTTTTTTTAAAACATCTGGTATTATAAACATATTGCTTTATGATAAGAAAAAGATTATTTTCTGCATTGCCTTTTGATATTTTTGCAATGTTACCAAACAAAAAAACTTCTTTTGTAAAAAATACACTAACTCCATTGGTCAGAAACCAATTTTCAATCTGTTCTAATAATATCTGTGTATGTTCACAATCCCAAAATAAATGTTCTAATGTTTCAATTTCTCTATTACAAAATGTACAATTTGGATTATCATAAATCTTAATTTTATGAAGAAATTTGTTTGTAGCTAAGATTCGATGATTGAATCTATACTGCAGCCACTGTAACTTAGTATTATTTGTGACAACAAATGGCATTTTATAAATTTTTTTCCAATGATTTTGATCAAAGCCAAAAATTTCAGTCCATCTTAACTGACCAGTGGGAACACTTTTATTTTTATTTAAAACAATATACATATCTTTAGATCCTTTTGAACTTTTAACAAGTCTTTTAATAGCAGATGGAATTAAAGGTAGTTCTAATTTGTGATTTTTTCCCACAAATGATTTTGATGCTTGATGTATAGCAGATATAATACTATTATATCTCATGAAATTCACATTTATCTGATACATTTCTTCTAATTCTTGATGAGAGAAAAAAGTCCCATCTTCATTTACAATATCATTTATAAATCTTATACCATTTTCAAACCAATCTTTATAAAAAATAGGTTTATTTGCTACCTTTATATTATTGTTAAGCCAGATTGGACTAGCAAGAAAGCATTCCCAACTGTCATATTCATCTTTTTCTCTGAGAAGTTGCCATGCTTTCAGAACATCTTGCCAAAATTTATTTTTTATATTTTGTTGTAATTTTTGTATATAAACACTTCCACAACCATAAAATTTTTCAAGTTCTACATGAACATTTGACAAAAAAACATTCTGCCATTTGTTGTCTGTTTTAAATAATCTCCTTATCCATGTACACTTCAGTGCTAAAATAAATGCACTAAGATTTATCATTTTGAGTCCACCATCTTCAATATCATTTTGTAAAACATCTCTCTTTATTCTATCAATTGGTGAACTCCATATAAAATTGTACATAAGTTCAATAACATTTTTTAAAATATCATCACTTGGATTTGGTAAGGATATAAACAAATGATTTAAAATAGGCAATATCAATGTCTTTACAACAGTAATTCTACCAATAACAGTAAGATTTCGTTTTGACCATTGTTTAATTACACATTTTATTTGTACAATTTTTTCATCATAATTAATTTTTACAATTCTATCAAGATTAACATCAAAGCTTATACCTAATAACTTAAAACATGTTTCTCCCCATGTAAGGTTTCTATTTTGGCATAATACCTCATTACTATACTTTTTATTTCCTATCCAAATAACTTGTGTTTTAGAAAAATTAATATTTAAACCAGATATATTTCCAAACCAATCTAATTCATTTAATGCTTCATTCAAAGATTCTTCTTTACCATCTAAAATAAGAGATGTGTCATCAGCAAATTGTGAAAGTTTGTGCTCAGCTTGAGCAACTGTAATGCCATTTATTTTATCATTATTTCGTATTTTTAGTGCTAATATTTCAGCACAGAGAATAAAAATATAAGGCGACAAGGGATCACCTTGTCTACAGCCTCGTTCTATAGAAAAAAATTCTGATAGATGTCCTCCCTGATTAACAGCTGATTTAATATTTTTATAAAAAACTTTAACCCAATTAATTATTGATTCTCCAAAATTGAACAACTTCAAGACACTGGTTAAAAATTCCCAAGAAATTGAATCAAATGCCTTTTCGAAATCTATGAGCAATAAAAGTCCTGGAATGTCTTTTTCCTCAGTAAATTGCATAATATCATAAATTAAACGAAGATTTTCTCCAATATATCTCCCACTAATAAATCCGGTTTGATCGAAATCTATCAGTTTATCTAAAACTGTTTTAAAGCGTTTTGCTATAACTCCAGAGCCAATTTTATAAACTGTATTTAATAAAGATATAGGTCGCCAATTTTTTAAGAAATGTCTAGGTTTATTTCCTTTCGGCAGGCATGTAATGATTCCTTGTTTTTGCGTAACAGATAGTTCACCAATCTCAGTACTGTGTTTAGTGTGGAATTGATTTTACAGAATACATGTGACTGCCCACTTTAATTTTATTACTCACCTCTGATATTCAGAAGTTGTTAATTGTAAATGTATGAAAACTTCTAGTTAAACATGACTGACATTTAATTGAACATTTTACAGAAGACAGAGAATGGAACAAAAGTTTTCAGAAGAATTTGATGAAGAAGATAAAAACAGTTGATAATGGTTGATGTTCCTTGAACAAGGATTTAACAATATGGTGCTTACTCATTTGTATGATATTTGTGTCCACCACAGATGTGACTGAGCCAAATAAATCTTCCTTTGTCTATAGTTCATTTAAAAGCTACTTATATTTGAGTGTATATCTCAGAGTTATTTCACCTTTGCGATCATCTTGTGTAGTTTAACACTCAAGAGGGTTATCAGATCCTGCTCAGCAATTTTTAAGTCAGAAGCTAAATTTGGTTTTTTCAATTAAGTCATTTTTTTTGTGTTACTATTCCTTTCAAGAATTCACAGTTATATGTTGTTGATATTTCAATGCTGCATACAATAATGATATTTTACTAAAAATTTCTTTTCGTTTAGTAAAAAACACAGTTATGGAACATTTATATCATTGTGACCTACATTTTATGTTCAATATCTCAGGCTAACCTCTGCATTTTTAATCCTAATGGTTAAATTTTCATTAATTTCTTTTATTGGTGGGTCATGTATGTCTTACAGACTAGTGATTGGCATCTGGTGTATAATTGTTTCATTGGCAATCATACCACATCTTCTTATTTTTATATCAACATATCATTTTGTTTTTGTAAAGTTCATACTTAATTTAGTAAAATAGAATAATAACATTTGGGGCCTTATTTCATACTATTAATATAATCCCAACAAGTCATTGGCTAAACAAGAGGAGCAGTTGGTCAGAAATTTAATATTTGACTGTAACGTTTTAATCTCTTAATATATACTGATAAACTTGTCATAAGTTAAGACCTTAACAATTTTCAATTTAAAGCAAAATTTCGATTTTCTGGAAATCTTCATCTTCAAGTTTTAAAAAATATAATTTTCGCAAAAATAGGTTTTTAAATTATTTTTTAGTTTTTAACATTTGGCTATAATCAATTTCTAACTGTGAAATGATGGTAATAACATGAATAAGTATACATGTTATCAAAATCAATACACGTAGATGACATTTCACAGTTTGTACTGTTCTATAGATGTTAGTATGACAAATTGTGAGAGATTTTTTAAGCACAAAATTGAGAATGGAAATGGGGAATGTGTCAAAGAGACAACAACCCAACCAAAGAGCAAAAAACAGCAGAAGGCCACCAATTGGTCTTCAACACAGCGAGAAAATCCTGCACCCTGCATGACTCTTTATTTGGCTTATGAAGACAATTTGCTTTTAATTTTCAGTGCTTCTTTATGGAATAAATTGATCATCATTTTAATTTTTTTAATGCCCCCTCCGTAGTGGAGGGGGCATTAAGTTTTACCTTTGTCTGTCCGTCCGTCCCTCCGTATGTACGTCCCAAAGTTGGTTTCTGTTCTCTAACTTAAGTTTGCTTTTACCAAATTTTATGAAACTTATACACAATGCTTATTACCACAAAATACAGATAAAGTTTGAATTTTGGTGGCGTCACTTTAACTGTTCTTGAGTTATGCCCCTTTACAAATGGAAAAATCGCTGAATTTTTTGTTTTTGGTTTTCTAACTTAAGTTAGCCTCAACCAAATGTTATGAAACTTATACACAATGCTTATTACCACAAAATACTGATCAAGTTTGAATTTTGGTGGTGTCACTTTTACTGTTCTTCAGTTATGTCCCTTTATAACTTTATATGATATGCAAGCGAGTCATCATCTGTGTCCCACGTACACATTCCCTATTTATTTTCTCAAAAATATACACATGGCAAATTAATTTATTATATTGATTTATATTCAATTGTTACATATTATAAGGTTATGATAACCGGTGACAAATATTCTGTGATATTTTCAGTATGATAATGTTGATCCCAAGATAATCATTACAAATTGATTGAGGATTATCCCAGTTGACTTGCAGTTTGAAAGACAAAGGGATGAATTTTTCAACGTACCATACTTAAGTGTAATTTATAAATTTATCTAGTCCTTATTTTTTGTCAGGAAATTTAAACAGGATACCTTTTTCTGTTGGTTATAAATGCACCATCAATTGTATAGCCCTTATATTTTTTAATTATTTTGCTTGGAATAAATTTGGTGGTTCTAACTTTGCTTTCTTAGGGCTAATAAATTAGAATGAATGTGGGAGGATAGGAAAAGACTTCCAAATTACCCTCACAACTAACATACTTTGAGTAATTTTGTGTACACCAAATGGACACATAACTATAAATTACCTATGACTCATGTCTAAAAATAAAATTTTTCTTACCTCCCACATTTATTTAATGGAATAGCCCTTATATTTTTCATGATTGTTTTGTTAACATTATGTCATTTAGCAGATACTTTTTGATAAAGAATAATGTTCAATACAGCTTCCAATATTAATCTTTCTTCAGAAAGAGATTTCATACTTCAGAGGTTTGTCAAGTTTAAATATATGACTAAAATATTAAGATTCAATTGTATTACATTTGATTCAAGGTTCAGCAAAGGAGTAAGTTCACAAAGGGCTGGTATTGGCCCTAAGAATTTCATGTTTTTTTGATCCGGCCAAAAAACTAAAAATTTCACAAAGAAATAGTTGTGATATAACTATTAATAGGAAATAATTTCTTCTTGGCACATCACATTAAAAATGAAGAAGAAATGACCCCTCAAGTATGCATTAATTGTGAATTGTGTTGTAATGTTATTTTGGTAAAATTTTCAATAAGTCAGAAAAAATGCACAAAATCATTGTTTTTTTACCATATATCCACAATGTACTGACTTTGATGCCTAGAATGTACTCTTAATGAAGAGATTTATTCAACCTAGTAGGAAGGTGTTTTAAATAGATTCATTTAAAAACTGAATTAAAGCCATTTTGACATTTTATGATAAAGTTGAATTTCAAAGCCATATTTGGCCTAAAGTGAACCTTTTCCTTGATTTCAGCACATCACTTTGGTGCTGAAGTAAAACATTGTTTTAAGATGAAGGTATTTAAGAGATAACTATTTGAAGCTTTGCAGATGTCCATTGGTAGTTTGACTGTAGCAAATTGAGTTTACCTGGCGATGCAGAGCGAAGACTTTACAGTAAAATTAACGAAGGACGTCCACAAAGCTTCAAATACAATACAGTTATCTCTATTCTAGTGAAAAATAAACAAATCATTCAATTTTAGTCATTTTTTCAGTTTAAAATTTTCATTAAACGAAAATTCTGCGAAATGAAGTTATCTTCTTTGGCACCTAAACTACGTGACGACATGGGGCGTTTTCTGCCTTCTTGTCAGCCTCAGATTGTAATTAAATTTGATTTAAAGAAGATTTCTAGTTGTAAAATGTGAGTTTTTTTTTGCTTATTATTGGAGAAATTACATGTCAATACATTCCGGAATTCAAAATGTCGGTCTCCCTAGTTACAGACGGGGAGATGGAGAATTTTATGCTGATTGTCATCCAATCAGAACCATTGATACAAAAAAATTGCATTAGAATAGGTATTTTTGGCAATTATAAACTGAACATCAAACCATAGTGTAAATCCATTAATTAACATGCTTGTTAAGATATTCACATTATATTGTCAATAACTATATATATATATGAATTTGACATATTTTTGGGAGTACAAGACTGAACACTTTTTTTAAGAATAAAAACAATGTGTTATTTTTAAACAATACTGAATTAATTGGTATAATTAATTTTCTATCAAGCAACTAAGAAATTGTATTCCATTTTGTTTACTTGAACCCACGAATTCATCAAAATTATTGTCCAAGGATAAATAAATGGTTCACAGCATATCTTGCAGTAGCATGTTAAAATAGCAGTTAAAAATATTGTTTTTTTCATTTATCAAAAGTATAATACAGTAGCATTTTTATGGTGATTGTCATACAATTTTTCTTTTAGAACAAGTTCTCAGCTTTATAGCACTTAAGTTATTAATACTTCTTCTGATTTGAATTGCATACTATGAAAGCTTAAAACCAAAGAGTTGTAAAATATGATTTTCGATGATCATGTATTAATTTATGCCTGAATTTACACAAGAAACCAAGGACATTTAAATCAATCTTCAAAATTTTCATTTCTATGCTTATTTTTTTAAGAGCTAATGAAAACCAACTGTTGTTTACATGCATCTTGGTAAGATAAGGTCAAGGACCACTCGGCCACCTAGACTGAACAACATATATATATATAACTCGTCTCAAATTTAGCCCAACAATGTTAGATCTTCAAATTTGTGTTAGCAAATTTTTGTTCTTCCCTCAGCGGGATTCGAACCCTTGCTTCTTTGACATCGTGGCAACACAGCCTGCACCGTGTCCAGCGACCTAGACCACTCGACCACCTAGGCTACATAAAAATATAGCTTTCAGTGGTCGATGTAATGCCTTTCCTCGTCGGCTTTATCTAGGGTTGTAACACAGTACATGATGTATATATAGTGGCAAGTAGATGGTGTACCTTTCAGATCAGCTATTTTGTCTGTCGCAAAAGATGATAATGTAAATTACCATGGTGCCACATCAAATTTTAATTTTATTATACACATCTAAACATATGACAACTTTATGACAGACATTCTCCATCGGATAACACATGGTTATACAGGGCTAACACCATAATATATATATAACTCGTCTCAAATTTAGCCATACAATGTTAGATCTTATTAAGTATCAGTTGAACTGTGTACAAAAGAAACATATGTTTTTCAAAGAATTATGGAATGTGAAATACAAAAAGTGCAGATAGATTTAAAGAAAATAAATGTTTCTAGCAGTTTTTATTATACAAAAAAACATAATACACTTGATTGAATATCAACAGACATGTTTATGTTGATTTTCCCTTATTCCTTGAAAGAAACCAAATTCAGACAAATGTTGATTAAATTTTTTCAATGTGCCAAATTTTACAGAAAAACTAATAAATATTCATTGACTGATTCTAACATTATACATGTTGAGAGAACAAATAAAATGGTTATGTCATTTTATTAAATTCTTATGTGACCTTGGTTTATTGGTGATTGCAGCATAGTGTCCATGTTTGTTGAAAATGTAATTTAACATGTGGTTGATTAAAATGTATAATAACTTTTAAAAGAAATATTTTAATATAAAAAAGAAAGTGCTGTAATAATAAAAGTTCCTATTTATCTGTTATTTAAGTGTTTTATTGCAGGTGCCTACTTAACAATTTCCATAGTATAACCCATTATCATAATGTAAATACTATGTAAGGGAGATAATAATTGATATTCTGGTAGAATGGGGATAAGGATATATTCCCCTTATATTCCAGGCTGAGTCAAACTAGATATCAAATTTACTATCATTCATACGGAAATGACATGAAACATAGATTTCTATTAGTCAAATGTTTGTTTAATTTAAAAAAAAAAGTGTTGCCTAGTGGTTACAAGAAGACAAAATACAAAAATAAGCTAATGGTCTTATTTACATCCACTTTATTTAAAAGGGAGAAAAAGGGGGAAAACACAAAACAATTTAAGCTAAAAGACAGAAAATGGTAACAAGTGGACAATATCTTTTGTCATCTGTAAAACAAATCATAATCCATAAAACTTAACCCAATATTTCGACTGACTATGAAGTATTCATGTAGTACCTTTGCCAAAATTTTAATCTGAATCTTGAAGGTTATAGGGTATAAGAAAGAAGGTTAACCATGAAGTCGTCAAATAAAAAAAACTCCCAAAAAGAAAAATAACCGAAATGAGCAGCAATATTATAAGAATTCCAATCGACTGTCAACACAGATATTATCTTCCTTTTCCTGATCAAGGATTTACTATAGAAATCTTGCCCTGATTAAAAATAAGGAAAATAAAGATGAACAAATAAGTGATGATACAATGGGGAATGTGTCACAGAGACAACAACCCGACCAAAGAGCAGAAAACAGCCGAAGGCCACCAATGGTTCTTCAACACAGCGAGAAAATCCCTCACCCGGAGGCGGGCTTCAGCTGGCCCCTTAACAAAAATGTGAATTAGTTCAGTGAAAATGGACACACTAAACTCCGATACATATACATGAACTAGAAATAAAAAACCATACAAGACTGACAAAGGCCAGAGGTTCCTGACTTGGGACAGGCGCAAAAATGCGGCGGGAATAAACATGTTTTGTGAGATCTCAACCCTCCCCTATACCTCTAGCCAATGTAGAATAAACGAACACACAGCAATATGCACAGTAAAACTCAGTTTAAAAGAAGTCTGAGTCCGATGTCAGAATAAGTAACAAAAGACACTAAGCAAAATGACAATGATTCATAAATTAACAAAGGACTACTAGCAGTTACTGACATTTCAGCTCCAGACCTCAATTAAACATATGAAAATCAAGCACAATCCCTCCCGTTAGGGGTTTAGTATCATACCATCATAAAATATATGAGAAGAACATAACCCGTATCATGCCAACAACTGGTTTTAGAATAAATGTGTTTATTTCCGATGCAAAGACCCTATGAGTGTGTCAATATTAATATCAAAATATGCCATCTTTAATGACCTGACAACATTATCGTAACCATATCCCTTCTGAATTACCATAAAAGATTGGATGTGAAATACCTGAACGTATAAGATGTCTGCATGTTGATTTATATTTACGAAATTTAGTAAATGCTTTGACTGGTTTGTGATCGCGAAAACCCTGGTGTAATAATTTTTTAGTAATACAGAGATTTCTTTCGTTAAAATCAAATACATACACGAGCGAATCGAATAAGTTGAGATATATAAACACCATAAGATGGTGACAAGGGAACGTCACCATCTAAAAATGAATAATTAACAATAGGAAATGAAAAATCATCTCTTTTATCATAAATTTTATATCTATCCAAATCAGCTAAAACAACAAACAACACCATTTAGGATTGCAGCCGATCCTTAACGTTCCTAATGTCGTAACAACAATCCCGTCCCCTTTTCCCGAATGTAACCTACCGAATTAGACTTATTACCTGGTTTGTACTAACATGAGCAACACGACGGGTGACAGATGTGGAGCAGGATCTCCTTACCCTTCCGGAGCACCTGAGTTTCTGTGGGGTCCGTTTTGATCAGTCTTTAGTTTTCTATGTTGTGTTTTGTGTACTATTGTTTGTCGGTTGGTCTTTTTCTTTTTTAGCCATGGCGTTGTCAGTTTTATTTTCGCCGGACTGATGAGTTTGAATGTCCGTCTGGTATCTTTCGCCTCTCTTTTACTTGAGGTCAAAGTGTACTCAAATCAGAAAGTTGAGGTCAAAGTGTACTCAAATCAGAAAGTCTTTGCTCAAATAATTATTTGTGCCTCTGTCAGGACTGCAGTTACTTGCATGTCTTTATCGATATGACCAGGCGGACATAAATGATTGACAGCTAATTAATTAGTCGTCGTTTTCGTCGTTCTAAGAATTCAAATGTTCTGCAAAACTATCTTACAGACGTCTGTATGTTTTTCCGATGTATACTAGTATCTGTTGACAGCTGTTCGCATATAACGGCGTTTTTCATCTTTTAAATATAGATGAAACCAAAACATTTTAGTGCCCTGAACATCAGTAACTTCCGATTTGAAATTAAGGGCATGATTTGCATCTGGACCTTCCACAGCGTCTAGTTCCCCAAATATTCATTTGGGATTTTCGAGAGCACAAGTTTTGGAGGAAAAAGTCGCGGGCTGCAGCGTTACATTAAATGTGCGATGTGTCATGTTTACTATTCATATAAATTCTCGTATCTCGTGTTGAGCTGTATACTTCTGATATGAGAGGAAATAAATGAATAAATCTTATTTTGTCTCTTTACTTACCTTATCTTTCAAGGAATCATAAAAATAAAAAAAAAAACAACAACATTATGATATTTCGTTGTACTTCTTTGCAAAATGAAAAAAAAATTGCACTTTTAAGAACCATGAGAAACATCCTTAAGTGTTTTGCAAAATAGATCTGTACCGATCGTTAAGTTTGATATATTACAAAAATAATTTAACCTAACATCTGAAATTAATATCAATATTTCTCTCGAAAATGACGTTTTTGTTTTATTTACAACTTAAGTATTCAAATGTTTAATAGGTCAATATCGACTGGCAGCATAATGAAATGAGATTCATTTGTATTGCCTTGGTTAACTCTGTCAAGATATCATCTCAAAGGGTAATTTTGAATACAAATTACTGTGATGTTAAGATAAAAACAAAACCTTCGACCAGGTAAAAAGCTTTAAACCTCCATCGAAAACATTCAAATTTTCCTAAGTGAATATAGAAGAAAACGTTCACACTCCCTTCGAATCGATCAATGCTCAAATTGTAAATAACCTCATCATAGATACCAGGATTGTAATTGTGCACGCCAGACGCGCGTTTCGTCTACAAAAGACTCATCAGTGGACGCTCCAATCAAAAAACGTTAAAAATGACAAATAAAGTACGAAGTTGAAGAGCATTGAAGACCATAAAATCCGGAAGGAACATAAGATTAACTTATGTACTAATATTTTTAAAAGTGATATCTGATATTAATCGCATATGAAGGTAGGACAAGAGCTCAGCAACATTTGTGTCTTTGAAGATAGATGTAGCACGAGTGTTCAAAGAACCATTTAGATTTTATCCTGATTTGTTTATCACAACTTTCACCCAACTCGATGAGTATCTAGTTTTTTCTTTTTCACGTTTTGCCAATTGTCTGGCATAAACTTCGACTGAATTTATAAGTTTTTGGAATACGATTGCTGTCAAGCAATCTGTAAGACTTTTACCATTGATTCCTTTTCAAGATTCTCACGTCTACCGTTATGTGCTTTATAATAAGGAACAACTCAGATAATCAGATTCTAAAGATTGTTTTGTTTTAATGAGTAAAACAAACAAACAGATTGAATTTAAAAAAGAGAGGCGAAAGATACCAAAGGGACATTCAAACTCATAAGTCGAAAATAAACTGACAACGCCATTGCTAAAAAATAAAAGACAAACAATAGTACACAAAACACAACATAGAAAACTAAAGACTGAGCAATACGAACCGGAAGGATACGCAGACCCTGCTCCACATGTTGCACCTGAGTGGCCAAGTCTAATTCGGTAGGGCACTTTTGGGAAAAGGGGACAGGATTGTTAAATTTTTTTTCATAATCCTCGCGTTTTGATATCTCCCTTTTTTAGTTGCGTTTATTTTACAATACGGAGAATCAGTATTAAGAAGTATCTATATTTATCCAGAGACATCACGTCATAATGGGGATTCCATTGTGTTCTGTTGGTAAAATTCGAGAGTGGTTCCGGAATGAAACTTTTTCCGTCAGATAAGTACTGAAGTGGTGTTCCAATCAATCAGGTTACCTTTATGAAATTTCATATTGAACGTCCATAAGGAAATGAAGAACCACATATATGGTCTTCAATCAAAACGTAATCCAAACACTTTGTTTATGTAATCCAGCGCATGCGTAGTTTTCTTGACCAGGGGTATCATCGACTAAACCCCCTCAGACGAAATAGGCGAGTGACATTTTTCAAAAAGACGCTTAGTTAACGACTTTAATGCACCCACCTAACATACGGCTATATTATATATCATTCGAAAGCTTGTTATCTGTACTTTCTGTTTTGCCCGGTCGTCAATAATTCGTACGGTGCAATTTTCGTTAAATCAAGGTTAAAGGTCAAAAATGAATATTCCAAAATTTTGCTACAGTTAAACAAAATGCCCTTTTCTGGTACCTATATGAAATTTGTTCATCTAAAAATTGTCGGAACCTTATAAAACAAAAAACAATAATTCCAAATCAAATGCAAACTTAAATGTTAATTGCGCAATATTTACATAAAATTGCATTTCTTAAAAAACTTCCAAAAATGATATAATTGAACTAACAGCTAAATGTTTCTTGAGGTATGAGTATATATATGTAAAAAATATAATAAATTAATGGTTTATAAGCCGAGGGAATTTTCGCATCATTGTAAACTGTAATTAATGTAATATAGCCTAAGATGCGGCCTTCTAATGCAACTTTTGCAGTTGCCCTATAAAAACACCATCTACAAATATTGATCATTTTGCTTTTCTTTGGCTAGATAATATAGTAAATATCAGAAGAAAATGATTAACCGGTTTTGAATAGGGGTA